AGTTATTTGGATTTACACAACTAGGTACGGGAGAAAAGAGATTATTTGTATGTAAAGTCATATGAGGAAATTGGGTACAGGAGGAATCCCGTTGGATTATGGGTAATTTTATAATTATTTATGTTTGAGGAATTGATGATCCCATTAAATTTTGCATGTATTGATAATTGGAAATATGAAACAATTTGTAAAAATGATGATCTAGGAGAGAAAATGAAATTGTAGAAAAGTGTTTAAGTTAGGTTTTGAAAAAATTGGGAGTTTTACTATTTTAGTTAAGATTCTATAAAATTGATGATTCAATCGGGTTTTATATTGATATATAAATGTAGTTGGTATATTATTTGGTAAAATTGATGATCTAGAAGATAATTGAATTTATTGGGATGTGCTCTGTAAGTTAGGGTTCTTGTAGATTGATGAACACCCTTAATTGTATGAATTAATGTGTAAGTAGGTGTTTTTACTTATGGATGTACCTTAGTATTTTTGTAATATATTTCTGTTTGATTAACCAAATCAATTTTTGTTTGTTGGGTTAGAAAGTAGACACTTGGGTCTATAATTTAGACTCAAGAATCATGTAAAAATGTTAAGAATTAATTGAGTTATGTGAGTTATAAGTTCAGTCTCTATTTTAGTGCGTGAAGTATTAATTTTTGTGTTGTCATCCATGCGAAGTGACCTTAACGACATTTTTAGGCTTCATGTTCTTCACAAAAGTTGTAGCTTTTGGTGTTAGCTTTCTAATGGCTTTTAAATCACTCAAAAAGGATGTGTATAACGCAAGTTATGATCAAAATAGTGAGTAGAGGTCAAGCTGTCAGGATTTACGGTGCCCAACGCGGGTATTCTATTTTAGTTTGGGTTTTTGACGTTTTGGGACCCCTTTTTTGGCATATTTGTGATAGTTTATGATTTCTTAGTGATGCTTTATAATGCTTATGATATGATCGAATGAGTTTGATGTGGGATTGTGAAATATGGTATTATATTGATAGATTTTGATGATGGTTGTGAATCATATGATGTCCAATAATGACTATTGTATGAAGAGATATAAATGGTGTGTGCCGGATGTGAACCAAGTGGAGAGGATTGGTAAGGGTATAGATAGCCCATTTCGAGTGAAAGTTGATGGTGTTTTGTGGTCTCGGGATAGAATCTATGTGCCTAATAAATCCGAATTAAGGAAGATGATCTTAGAAGAAGGCAATAAGAGTATTCTTAGTATTCACTTAGGAGCTATTAAGATGGATTAGGACCTTAGGAGGGTGTATGAGAGTGGCGTAGCGGAAGCGTGGTGGTTTAAGGTGAAGAGAGTAGAAGAAGTTGTGAACTCGTGTCTACTATTCCAAAAGTCTAAGGTGGAACATTAGAATGTCAAATGCAAGAGACATATCCATTTTTATTTGCTTCAGGTAATATGGGGGACGAAATTTTTAAAAGGAACGGAGAATTGTAACACCTCGAATTTTTAAAATAATATTACTAATAGTTATTATTTATCTTGTATTTATGAAGGTTATTTCCTTATAATTATTTTGATTAATTAAATGGGTTTGATTGAATCTTTAAAGGTTTTTAATAATAATCATTAATGAAAATTATTTTGTATAATATTATTAATTATGATATTTTGTTATAATTATTATTTGAAGAAAATCATGTTTTAATTTGTATTGATATTTTACTTTGATTTGATACATATATATATATATATATATATACGTTATTTATTTATTTATTAATTAACAATTCTTGATTTTCATAGCCCCGGAACAGGCCGTTCCACTTTGGGAACGGGCCGTTCC